CGGTTTTTTTTTTTTTTTTTTTTTTTGTAGTTTTATTCATTTCAAATGGGCCGGATCCGGCCCGTGGGCCGTAGTTTGTCCACAGCTGCTCTTAGAAGCTTATAGTATTACTTTGTCCCAATGTTCTGTTCCTGGTAAGGGTTCATTTTCATCCCTTATATGGGGTGCTTGGTGGGATCTTTCAAACATTGTCCTTCAGGGAAATATTTTCTTTAATGACTGCTCATCTGTTCTCTCATTATAGAATTCCTGTTACCCAGATGGTAGACCTCCAATGTTGGTTCTCTTATTTTCTTATCTTTTCTCTTAATTTCCCGCTCTTGTCTTCTAGCTCTACTTTCTAGAAGACTTCATCAACTTAATTTTCTAATTAGTCTAATATGTTTTATTTTTCTGGTCTCAGATTTTTTATTTCTAGGGCTCTTTTTTCTTCCCTGAATGTTCTTTAATAGTATCTTTTTTTTGGTTCTTGGTTGTAGTATATCTTTGAACACATACATTTATATTTTCTTCATGCATATTTTTGTGACCGCTAAGTTCCATTTATTTGTTTTCCCTGTATGTTTCCTTTGGTCTTTGTTTTTGTGTGTGTGTGTTACAGGCTTTCCTCAGTGATGATAGGGTCTACTACTGCTTAAGAGTAAAACACCAGAATGATAAACTGAGAGTGGTGGAAGGTGTTTTTCAAATGCTTCACAATGACTTAGCTAGCTAAATTATTCAATCTCTAATTCAGTTTCTTTAGGACTTCCTGTCTGCCTGGCAAGAAATAAAGGCCTACTTCTGAGATATTACAGTTTGGTAATATACCATAATGAAGCGAGTATCATAGTAAAGCAAGTGGTAATCTTTTTGCTGATGGAAGGTCTTGCCTTCAATTTGTAAAAAAAAAACACACACAAAAAAAACCCCACAAAACTCAACACCTGTAAAGTGCAATAAAGCTAAGCGCAATAAAATGGGTTGTGCTTGTAATTCTTCTATTCACCTGCTTGAGATGCAATAAACTTGGCTGTAGGAGTCCCTCCCTTTTTTTCTCCTGTTTTGCAGCCCCATGCTCTTGCTTCTGCAATCCATTTATGTATTTGTCAAGACTATACAGCTTATCGTTTTTAATATTCTCTTTTCTGCTATCCCCAACTTGCCTCTTTTCCTCTTTAAAGTTTGCTCACATTGCAAGATCTCCAGAAGTTTTCTTTTAATTCCTCAGCAATTCACCATTATGTGCTTCTTTACCAGAACAACTTACTTTCAACTGTATGTTCTCTACCGGTATATTTGTTAACATGCACTGAAAACCTCCTTTTGTATGGTGCTGTGTACCCCATGGGTGCTAAATAAAGGCTTGCAACTGGTAACTGCAGTTACGGTTCGTTAATTGTGTCCGTTTATGATATACCTGTGTAGTATATCAATTTAATAAAAGTGTTAAAAGAAAAGTAACCTCTCAGAAAAGCGACCATTTCCCCAACTGAACACAGGGGCTTTGGCCCCTTGCATCCTGGGAGGAGGATTTAAAAAAAAAAAAAAATCAAACTCGAATCTGGAGAAGGTAGGGCAGAGAAGCCGATCTGCAAACCCGAGGCTGGGTTTCGTTTCTCCTCCCGGGGACCGGCTGGGTTTCGTTTCTTCTCGCTGCCGGGGGAAAAACCCCCGGGCGTGGGGACGAGCCCTTCCGGGCTTTCGGGCACTCGAGCGGCCGCGGGCTTCCGGCAGCGCGAGCGCAGCGGCCGGCATGGGCGAGAGTTCGGCCTCGGACCG